ACATTACAATGTGCTCTAATCGAAAATAAACTACTCAAATGAACCTGCCCTTGTAGTATGAACCAATACACCAGTCTTGTAAACCGGGAATGGAGACCTTCTCCCCAGGACAACACAGAGAGAAAGTACTTGACTTCACCATCAGCACCCAAGGCTAAAATTCTAATTTAAACTACTCTCTGTGTTCTGATGAGGCACCTATTTTGGGTACAACCCAAGTATTGACCTGCCCCATAATAATGTTATGTATATCGTGCATTACTGCTAGCCGACATGAATATTGTATAGTACTATAAGTGTTTAACTGTACATAGTACATACGAAGGTACCCCGTACAATCACTGCTTGCTCGCAGTATATGCTTACAAGCCAGAACTATAAACGCTTAACCAACTGTAACACATTAAACTCACACCTCCAAAAGCCCATGCCCTTCCCCAGGAATATCGACCACACTTTTAACCGTACATAGTACATTCAGTCGTTCACTGGACATAGCACATTCAAATCGAATAAATCCACGTCACTACAGCTATCCCCCTCAGATAGTGGTTTCTCGCTCACCATCCTCCGTGAAATCAATATCCCGCAAAAGCGTGCTACTCTCCTCGCTCCGGGCCCATAACACTTGGGGGTAGCTATCCTGAACTGTATCTGGCATCTGGTTCTTACCTCACGGCCATGGAACTCAGATCGCCCACATGTTATCCTTAAATAAGACATCACAATGGATCACAGGTCTATCACCCTATTAACCAGTCATGGGTGCTCTCCATGCATTTGGTATTTTAACTTTGGGGTATGCACGCGATTGCATCGCAGAAGGCTGGTCTGCGGCGCACCTTATGTTGCAGGATCTGTCTTTAATTCCTAGTACGCTCTCATTAATCGCACCTACGTTCAATATTCCAGCCGCGCGTAACTACCACAAGGTGTTAATTAATTCATGCTTGTAGGACATAACAATAATTACTAAACTTACAGCGGCTTCTCACACTAAACCCTACGATAAAATTCCGCAACCCGCCTCCCTCCAACTCTTGCCTCATTAAACCAGGAAAGATACCTTTTCCAAACCCCCAAAACAAAAAGCCTCAATCTAATTCAGCCAGAGCCTAAATTTTTATCTTTAGGCTGTATGCATTTTCAACAGTTACCCCTCAACGAACGCACCTTTTTTTCTTTTAATTTCACTCCGCTGCTCCCCCAAATTTAATTCTCCTCTTACAGTCACTTCATTCAGTACATGTATCCCTCTGCTGCTGAGCCCATACCCTAAACCAACACAATCCCAAAGGCGGCCCCTCTCTTTATTTTTCTTACCCCCACAATCGCACATGCGCGTATCTTCTGGACCCCCATTTATACCACGCATTCGTGCAGTTTATATAGCTTAACTATCTAAAGCAAGACACTGAAAATATCTAGACGGACCTACACTGCCCCATAAACAAATAGGTTTGGTCCTAGCCTTTCTATTAACTCTTAGTAAGATTACACATGCAAGTATCCCCGCCCCGGTGAAATCACCCTCTAAATCACTACGATCAAAAGGAGTAAGTATCAAGCACGTATTAATGCAGCTCAAAACACTTTGCTCAGCCACACCCCCGGGGGAGACAGCAGTGATAAGCCTTTAGCAATAAAGGAAAGTTTAAGCTATACTGACACCCAGGGTTGGTTAATTTCGTGCCAGCCACTGCGGCCATACGATTAACCTAAGCTAATAGAGACCGGCGTAAAGAGTGTTTTAGGTTTGCCCTCAATAAAGCTAAGTTTCATCTAAGTTGTAAAAAACCCTAGCTAATATAAAATAAACTACGAAAGTGGCTTTGATACTTCTGAATACAAAATAGCTAAGACCCAAACTGGGATTAGATATCCCACTATGCTTAGCCCTAAACTTCAACAATTAAATTAACAAAACTGCTCTCCAGAACACTGCAAGCACTAGCTTAAAACTCAGAGGACTTGGCGGTGCTTCACATCCCTCTAGAGGAGCCTTTTCTATAATCGATAAACCCCGATTCACCTCACCACCTCTTGCTCAGCCTATATACCGCCATCTTCAGCAAACCCTAGTAAAGACCACAAAGTAAGCACAAGTATCTACATAAAAATGTTAGGTCAAGATGTAGCCTATGAGGTGGTAAGAAATGGGCTACATTTTCTACCCCAGAAAATTCCACGATAACCCTTATGAAACCTAAGGGCCCAAGGAAGATTTAGCAGTAAATTAAGAACAGAGTGCTTAATTGAATAAGGCCATAAAGCACGCACACACTGCCCGTCAACCCTCCTCAAGTATATTTTAAGGACTAACTTAACTAAATCCCCTGTACATTTATATAGAGGAGAGAAGTCGTAACATGGTAAGTGTAACGGCGGATATTGAAGGTTTTGAGGATTCTTTGGTGAAAAGAATCTGCTATAGTAGAGGCTGGCGCTGGGACTGGCTGAACAGTTTATCCCCACTTAGCAGGAAATCTATCTCATCCAGGGGCCTCTGTAGACTTGACTATCTTCTCACTTCACCTGGCAGGTGTCTCTTCTATTTTAGGAGCTATCAATTTCGTCACCACAATTATCAATATAATACCCCCTGCTATGACTCAGTACCAAATACCCGTTTTTGTCTGATCTGTCCTAATCACAGCAGTTCTGCTCCTCTCTCTTCCAGTCCTAGCCGCTGGCATTACTATACTATTTTTTTTTTTTTTTTTTTTTTTTTTTTTTTTGGAGACGGAGTCTTGCTCTGTCGCCCGGGCTGGAGTGCAGTGGCCGGATCTCAGCTCACTGCAAGCTCCGCCTCCCGGGTTTACGCCATTCTCCTGCCTCAGCCTCCCGAGTAGCTGGGACTACAGGCGCCCGCCACTTCGCCCGGCTAGTTTTTTGTGTTTTTAGTAGAGACGGGGTTTCACCGTGTTAGCCAGGATGGTCTCGATCTCCTGACCTCGTGATCCGCCCATCTCGGCCTCCCAAAGTGCTGGGATTACTATACTATTAACAGACAACAACCTTAACACCACCTTCTTCGACCCAGCTGGAGGGGGCGATCCTATCCTATACCAGCACCTATTCTGGTTCTTCGGTCACCCCGAAATCTATATCCTCATTCCACTAGGCTTCTGAATAATCTCCCACATCGTAACATATTATTCCGGAAAAAAGGAACCATTTGGGTATATGGGCGTAGTCTGGGCTATAATATCAATTGGCTTCCTAGGGTTTATTGTGTGAGCTCAACATATATTTACAGTAGGAATAGACGTAGGTACACGAGCTTACTTCACCTCTGCCACTATAATCATCACTATTCCCACTGGTGTTAAAGTTTTTAGCTGACTTGCTATGCTTCACGGAAGTAACACCAAATGATCCCCCGCAACACTCGGAGCCCTGTGATTTATTTTCCTTTTCACAGTGGGTGGCTTAACCGGCATTGTATTAGCGAACTCATCATTAGACATTGTGCTATAGGACACATACTATGTTGTAGCCTACTTTCACTATGTTCTATCAATAGGAGCCGTATTCCTTTTCATGGGAGGCTTTATTCACTGATTCCCCTTATTTTCAGGTTATACACTCGACCAAACCTATGCCAAAGCCCATTTTGCTTTATATTCACAGGCGTAAACTTAACCTTTTTCCCACAGCATTTTCTCGGTCTGTCTGGAATACCTCGGCGTTACTCTGACTGCCCCGATGCGTATACCGCATGAAATATCCTATCATCTGTAGGCTCATTTATGTCCCTGTCAGCAGTAATACTAATAATTTTCATAACCTGAGGAGCTTTCGCTTCAAAACGAAAAGTTTTAATAATTGAACAGTCTTCCACTAATTTAGAATGGTTATATGGCTGCCCTCCACCCTACCATGCGTTTGAAGAACCAGCCTACATAAAACCTAGAAGAAAAAGGAAGGAGTCGAACCCCCTAAAACTGGTTTCAAGCCAATCTCATAACCTCTATGACTTTTTCAATAAGATATTAGAAAAATTATTTCATAACTTTGTCAAAGTTAGGTTACAGGTTAAGCCCTGTATATCTTAATGGCTCACCCAGCTCAACTAGGTCTTCAAGACGCCACATCCTCTATTATAGAAGAATTTATCACCTTCCACGACCACACCTTTATAATTATTTTTCTAATCAGCTTCTTAGTTCTATATATTCTCTTTCTAATACTCACAACAAAACTGACTAATACTAGCATCATAGACGCCCAAGAGATAGAAACAGTCTGAACCATCTTGCCTGCCATCATCCTAGTCTTAATTACCTTCCCATCTCTAGGCATCCTATACATAACAGATGAAGTCAATAACCCTTCTTTCACCATCAAATCAACTGGACATCAATGATACTGAACTTATGAATATACAGATTATGGAGGATTAATTTTTAATTCTTACATGCTTCCGCCATTATTTTTAAACTCAAGAGACCTTCAACTTCTCGAAGTCGATAACCAGGTAGTCCCTCCAATTGAAGCCCCTGTCCATATAATAATCACATCCCAGGACGTCCTGCACTCATGAACTGTACCCACATTAGGTTTAAAAACAGATGCAGTCCCTGGTCGCTTAAACCAAACTACATTCACTGCTATACGACCAGGCTTCTATTACGGACAGTGCTCAGAAATCTTCAGAGCCAATCACAGTTTTGTGCCTATTGTCCTAGAGCTAATCCCACTAAAAATCTTCGAGATAGGACCTGTATTCACTTTATAAACCTGCTGTCTACTCACTTAACATATCCACTGTATAGCTGCCCCAGCATTAACCTTTTAAGTTAAAGACTGAGAGAAGTGCTGTCTCTCTACAGTGAGATGCCTCAACTAGATACTTCCACATTACCTGTCATTATTATATCAGTAATCTTTACACTATTCTTTCATCATTCAGCTAAAAGTACTAAATACAAATTATCACCGACTGGCTACATAAAAAATAATTGGTGTACAAAACCATAACAACCCTTGGGATCAAAATGAATGAAAATCTGTTAACTTCATTTATTGCCCCAACAATTTTAGGTCTACCTGCTGTAGTGCCAATCATCTTATTTCCCTCCATACTAATTCCAATGTCCAAGCACCTTATCGACAATTGGCTAATTGCTATTCAGCAATGATTAGTTCAACTTATCCTAAAACAAATAATAATAATGCATAGTGTTAAAGGACGAACCTGATCCCTTATACTAATATCCCTAATTATCTTTATTACCACAACGAATCTCCTCAGATTCTTGCCTCACTCATTTACACCAACCACTCAGTTATCTATAAATCTAGCCACAGCAATCCCCCTATGGGCAGGAACAGTAATTACAGGCTTTCGCTTTAAAACCAAAAACTCCTTGGCTCACTTTTTACCACAAGGCACGCCCACACCCCTTATCCCCATACTAGTAGTCATTGAAACCATTAGCCTATTTATTCAACCAATAGCCCTGGCTGTATGCCTAACGCTAATATCACAGCAGGCTACCTACTTGTGCACCTGATTGGAAGTGCCACACTAGCACTATGAACCATTAGTCTCCCCACAACTTCGATTGTCTTTATAATTTTAATCCTATTGACTATCCTCGAGATCGCTGTTGCCCTAATCCAAGCCTATGTTTTTACACTCTTAATAAGCCTCTACTTACATGACAACACTTAATGACCCACCAATCACATGCCTACCACATAGTTAAACCCAGTCCCTGACCTCTAACAGGGGCCCTTTCAGCCCTCCTAATAACGTCTGACTTGGCCATATGATTTCACTTCTACTCTGCCACCCTGCTAACACTAGGCCTACTAATCAACACACTAATCCATATATCAATGATGGCATGACATGGTCCGAGAGACCACATACCAAGGCCATCACACAGTACCTGTCCAAGAAGGCCTCCAATACAGAATAGTTTTATTCATTATTTCAGAAGTCTCCTTCTTTGCTGAGTTCTTCTGAGCATTTTATCACTCTAGGCTAGCCCCTACTCCGCAGTTAGGAGGACACTGACCCCTAACAGGCATTACTCCTCTAAAACCCCTAGAAGTACCACTCCTGAATACATCCGTGTTGCTCGCATCAGGAGTTTCAATTATTTGAGCCCACCATAGTCTGATCGAAAACAAGTAATCCAAGCACTACTTATCACTCTTTTTAGTGTCTACTCACCCTTCTACAACTCTCAGAATACTTTGAGACCCCCTTTACTGTCTCCGATGGGGTCTATGGCTCAACATTTTTTATAACTACAGGCTTTCACGGACTTCACATCATCATCGGATCAACATTCCTTACTACCTGCCTTATCCGCCATTTGCTATACCATTTTACATCCAAACACCACTTTGGCTTTGAAGCTGCTGCTTGATACTGGCACTTTGTAGATGTAGTGTGAATATTCCTGTACGTTTCTATTTACTGATGAGGATCTTACTCTTTTAGTATAAACAGTACCGTTGACTTCCAATCAACCAGTTTCGACCATATTTGAAAAAGGGTAATTAACCTAACACTAGCCCTAATAATCAACACCCTACTAGCTCTATTACTAATAACTATCACATTTTGACTACCACAACTTAATACTTACATAGAAAAATCTAACCCTTATGAGTGTGGGTTTGATCCACTGTTCTCAGCCTGCATTCCTTTCTCCATAAAATTTTTCCTAATTGCCATCACCTTTTTATTATTCGACTTAGAAATTGCTCTATTATTACCCTTACCACGAGCCCTTCAAACAACCAACCTTTAATTTTCATGGCCCAACTCATACCCGCACTATGCCACTAATAATTCATCCCTCATGCTAGTTATTCTTTTAATCCTAAGTCTGACTTATGAGTGAACTCAAAAGGGGCTGGTCTGAGCTGAATTAGTAGGTAGTTTAAACAAAAATAAATGATTTTGACTCATTAGATTATGGCGAACATACTCATCAAATGCCCTCTGTCTACATAAACGTTGCATTGGCCTTTATTATCTCACTTTTGGGGGTACTAATCTACTGCTCACACCTAATATCCTCCCTACTATGCCTGGAGGGGATAATATTGTCATTATTTATTATAAATACCCTTACAACTTTAAATATACACTCCCCCTAAATTAATATTATGCCTATTGCCGTGTTAGTTTTCACTGCCCGTGAAGCAGCAGTGGACCTTGCTCTACTAGTCTCAATCTCCAACACATATGGCTTAGACTACGTGCACAATCTAAACTTGCTTCAATGCTAAAAATAATTATTCCCACAGTTATATTACTACCAGTAACATGACTCTCTAAGAGCCACATAATCTGAGTTAATGCAACTATGCACAGCCTAATTATCAGCTTTATTCCACTGCTAGTCTTTAATCAAACCAATGACGACCTGTTCAACTATTCAGTGTCTTTCTCCTCTGACCCACTAGCAACGCCCCTTCTAATACTAACAGGCTGACTCCTGCCTCTCATAATTATAGCAAGCCAGTACCACCTATCCAGTGAACCCCCCTTACAGAAAAAACTCTACCTCTCCATACTGATCTCCCTACAAGTCTCCCTGATCATAACATTCACAGCCACAGAGCTAATTATATTCTACATCCTCTTCAAAACTACACTTATTCCTACCTTAGTCATTATCACCCGGTGGGGTAATCAACCAGAACACCTTAATGCAGGCACATACTTCCTATTTTATACACTAGTAGGCTCCCTCCCTTTACTTATTATACTCATTTATACTCATAATGCCCTGGGCTCACTAAACATAAAATTACTAACACTCATCACTCAAGAGCTGTTGACCTCCTGATCCAGCAACCTCATGTGGCTAGCATGCATAATGGCCTTCAGAGTAAAAATACCCTTATATGGCCTTCATCTATGCCTCCCCAAAGCCCATGTTGAAGCCCCTATCACCTACTCAACAGTACTTGCCGCAGTACTCCTAAAAGTAGGCGGTTATGGCATAATATGACTTACCTTTGTTCTCAATCCTTTAATGGAATATATAGCCTACTCTTTCCTTGTTCTATCCCTATGGGGCATAACTATAACAAGCTCCATTTGCTTACAACAAACAAAACTAAAGTCACTCACTGCATACTCCTCCGTAAGTCACATAGCTCTTGTTATCATAGCCATCCTTATCCAAAACCCTGAAGCTTCACTGGTGCAATTGTCCTTATAATTGCCCATGGACTTACTTTATCCTTACTATTTTGCCTAGCAAATTCAAACTACATACGAACCCACAGCCGTGTTACAATACTTTCCCGAGGACTTGAAACCCTACTCCCACTAATAGCCTTCTGATAACTTGCAGCAAACCTCGCTAACCTTGCCTTATCCCCCATTGTTAACCTAGTGGGAGAACTCCTTGTACTAATGGCCTCATTTTCTTGATCAAATATTACTATCGTATTCATAGGACTCAACATGCTAATTACAGCCCTATACTCCCTCTACATATTTATCACAACACAGTGAGGAATACTTATATACTATATCAATAATATGAAACCCTCCCTTACATGAGAGAATACACTAATATTCATATACATCTTCCCCATTCTCCTCCTATCCCTTAACCCTAAGATTATTTTGGGGTTTACCTCCCGTAAATATAGTTTAATCGAAACATTAGATTGTGAATCTAATCATACAGGTCCACAACTTCTTATTTACTGAGAAAGCTCCCAAGAACTGCTAACTCATGCCCCATGTCTAATAACATGGCTTTCTCAACTTTTAAAGGATAGCAGTTATCAATTGGTCTTAGAAACCAAAAATATTGGTGCGACTCCAAATAAAGGTAACAATCATGTATACTTCTATCATCATAATAACTCTAATCTCTCTAACCTCCCCGATCATCATCACTCTCATCAACCCTGGCAAAAAGAACTCACACCCACACTATGTAAAGACAATTATCGCATCCACTTTTATCACCAGCCTCCTCCCTACAACAACATTTACATGTCTAGACCAATAAGCCATTATCTCAAATTGATACTGAACAGCAATTCAAACACTAGAACTCTCACTAAGCTTCAAACTAGATTATTTTTCCATAATATTTATTCCAGTTTCACTATTTGTCACTTGGTTTATTATAGAATTCTCACTATGGTATATAGGCTCAGACCCAAACATCAACCAATTTTTTAAGTATCTACTTATTTGCCTCACCACAATACTAACCCTAGTTACTGCCAATAATCTCTCCCAACTTTTCATTGACTGAGAGGGCGTAGGAATCCTGTCTTTCCTGCCAATCGGCAGATGGCACACCCAAGCAGACACTAACACAGCAACCATCCAGGCAATCTTATATAACTGCATCGGTGCTAACGGCTTCATCCTAGCCTTAGCATGATTCCTTTTATACTCTAACTCATGAGAACCACAACAGATTCTCTCCCTAAGCCCCAACTCAAGTCTTCTCCCGTTAATTGGCTTCCTTGTAGCAGCAGCGGGAAAATCAGCCCAACTTGGCCTCCATCCCTGACTCCCCTCCGCTATATACATAATGACTAAGTGGGATATATTCTTTGAATAAAAGACGGTTCAAGCATGATCAAAAAAATTGATTAACATAATACATCACATTAACAGAACGAAGGCAAAAAATCATATGACCATCTCAATTGATGAAGAAAAAGCATTCAACAAAACTTAACTCTCTTTCATGACAAATCAATCAGCAAACTAGGAATAAAAGTAAACCACTAACAACTAAAAACCATATATAAAAAACTCACAGCAAATATCATGAAAGACTGAAAGGTTTTTTGTTTGTCTGTTTGTTTTTGTTTTGTTTGTTTGTTTTGAGACGGAGTCTCACTCTGTTGTGCAGGCTGGAGTCCAGGGGCATGATCTCAGCTCACTGAAAGCTCTGCCTCCCTGTTTCAAGCCATTCTCCTGCCTCAACCTCCCGAGTAGCTGGGGCTACAGGCACCTGCTACCACGCCCGGCTAATGTTTTTGTTTTTTTAGTAGAGATGGGGTTTCACCATGTCAACAACGTGTTAGCCTCGATCTCCTGACCTCGTGATCCACCCGCCTTGGCCTCCCAAAGTGCTGGGATTACTGGCGTGAGTCACCGTGCCCGGCCTGAAAGTTTTTTCTCTAAGATCAGGAATAAATTATAGAAGCCCACATTCACCACTTCTATTTAACATACTACTAGAAGTCCTGGCCAAAGCAATTAAACAAAACAAATAAATAAAAAGCATCCAACTTGGAAAGGAGGAAGGAAAATTATCTTTGCTTATAGGTGATAAGATATTATATGTGGAAAGCACTACAGGTTCCACTAATATCTCTTAAAACCAATAAATAAATTCTACAAAATAGCAAGATACGAAGTCAACGGACAAATATCTGTTGCATTTCTGTACATGAACACTGAGCAATCTGCAAAGGAAATTAAGATAATAGTTTTGTTTATAATAATATGAAATAGAATAATATACTTAGGAATTAACCATGGCAGTTAACAACTTATACAGTGAAAACTACAAAGCATTTATGAATGAAATTAAAGAATATATAAATAAATAAGAAGGCATCCCATGTTCATGGAGTGAAAGACAATATTGATAAAATGTTAGTATTATCAAAGACAATGTGCAGATTCAATACAATCCTTATCATATTTGCAATGACATTTTTTTTTCAACAACAGAAGAGTCCCTTCTGAAATTCATATGGAATCTCAAGGGACCTGGAAGAGCCAAAACAATTTTGAAAAAATAAGAACAAATTTGGAGGACTCTTTGATTTCAAAACTTACTAAAAAGCTATGGAAATCAAAACACTGTGATGCTGGCACAGAAGCAGACATATAGACCGATGGAATACAAAAGTTGAAAAATAAAGCCTTACCTATATGATCAAATGATTTTTCACAAGAGTACTAAAACCACAGATATAGTTTGGAT